TCTCTCTCGCTCTCTCTCTCTCCCTCTCTCCCTCTCTCTTTCTCTCACTCTCTCTCTCTCTCTCTCACTCTCTCTCTCTCCCTCTCTCTCTTTCTCTCTCTCTTCTCTCTCTTCTCTCTCTCTCTCTCTCTCTCTCTCTCTCTCTCTCTATCTTCACATTTATCAGCATATTACGTGAGAATATATGTATCTATTTGGACTTTACAGATCATGGATGTTATGTGTAAGTCAAAATCAATCTAGAAGTGAATAAAAACAGATCTTTTGTTTTCATTCACTCCTGATAAATCCATGTTCAGTATAATTAGATACATAGAATTCCTTCCCATGCAACATTTATAAAAGATAAGTGGATTAATAGGTTGTTGAATGGCACTATTAGTATATACATATACAGGTATATATAACTTGATGGTTAAAATATAATGCTATTTGCAGATGTGAAGAAGTAGAAAAATTCGTTTTAATCTACTCACTCTTGAAGTTGCGTCTGATCCAAGGGAAAAGTATCATCTTCGTTAACTCAGTGGACAGGTGCTACAGGTATATGGCATTGTGCCAAAATTTTCTCGCATCAGAAATTATATTAATCTTAGTGGCAGTCATGGAACTAATGCCATAATAAACAAGAAACTAATTAGACATCTTGTCTGAATTTATAATGTTGATGTCAATATTTATATTTATATTGATACAGATATTGATTTTGATGTTGTTATTGTTGCTGTTATTAATGTTGTTGTTATCAGGAGTGAATAGGAACAAATTTGTTTTTATTCACTTCTATTGTTATGTTGTTGTAGTTATTGTTGTTGTTGCATTATCTCTTCATGAATCTCTTCACACAATCGGCTTCTGTCCTTTCAGGCTGAAGCTGTTTCTTGAGCAGTTTGGTATCCCAGCCTGCGTACTCAACTCTGAGCTGCCCATCAACTCACGTGTACACATCGTGCATCAGTTCAACGACGGTCTGTATGACATCGTCGTCGCGGCCGATGACCAGACGCTCCTCGACCCTGCACAGACCAGTGCTGCCCCCTCGAAGAAGCAAAAACGGTAGGTTCTTCGTCGAGCTATGTTGGATTGTCACGGGGGGGGGGGGGTTGAATTCTGTTATTGTAATGGTCTGGTTTGCCGACGTAGGGTCTCTACAAACGACTGAATTGCGTGTGCGAGTTGTGTTGCTATTCGGGGTTCTACTTGTGATGAAATTTGAAGGATTTTAATGTGGAATTTTTTGTACAGATTATGCATACTTGCATACATATACACTCACACTAATGTACAAAGAATCGGCATAAATTTTACTGTTTGAACTAATTTGTGAATGCATTTATATTTGTAGGAAGTACCAAGACAAAGAGTTTGGTGTGTCAAGGGGGATAGATTTCCAATTCGTAACAAGTGTTATCAACTTTGATTTTCCATCGAATGTGGATTCATACATCCACAGAGTTGGCAGGTAGAAAAACGATTTTATGTTTGCACTATACACTGATTCAACATCTTACTAATTCTATTATTATAATATTTAAAATTTGTCATTTAGCAATGTGATCCAGGTGATCGCCATGCATACAGTGGACCCCGAGATACGAATTTAATTTGTTCCACAGATTTGTTCGTATCTCAAAAAATGTGTATCTTGAACCCTATATAGGACATACAGCAATTTACGTACAGCAAGTGCAATCATGAGAGCGCAACCACATTCAATGAGTCACGTACTTAAACTGACTCGCAGAAAGAGCACGTTCTTAGGCCTAGCTATGGCCTGATTGGCTGATTTATAAGACGTTTGTAGGTTGAATTTTATTTGTTTGTTGAATACATTACGTTCAACGAGAGGTCATTCATATCTGGAAAATTCGTATGTTGAGCCGTTCGTATCTCGGGGGTCCACTGTATTTATATATTTAATATGTTTCATATATTAGTTCATTACGAACTAAATTGGTTCCAACTTCCATTTATTGTATGTTCCATTATTTTTCGTGTTTATTTGTTTGCGTAATGCCATTAAGGCAATACTATAAAGCTGCGATCTAAGTGAAAAAGAATAATCAAGTTTTAGTAATTTTATATACGAAAAGATGAGCCCTACCAGTAACAGATCCTGGAGGCTCTAGTTGGTAGTAACCTTGGTGCTTTCTGGTCTGTAGAACTGCGAGGGGAACGAACCAGGGCACAGCGCTGTCATTCATCAGTGTCGCAGAGATGCCCATGTATGAGGAAGTGCAGGAGACGCTCTCAAAAACCTCACGTAATCCTCCTCCCATCACATCAATCGATTCGGTCGTCATTCAGTAATGCCTTTACAGCAATTAAGTCAAAACGGAAGTCACGAGTTATTGTGGTTCGTTATCCAAAGTAATTATTTGTTTGTTTGATTTGTACGTTCGTTGTTGGATAGTAATTGCTGGGCGATTCTTTGCAGCGGAAGGAGCAGATTCATTCAAGCCCTACCAGTTCCGCATGGAAGAGATTGAAGGCTTTAGGTACAGAGCGCAGGTATGTCGAATCGCTACCTCTACTTCTACTAAGTAAACGTGTGGCAGCTACCTACGTAGACACACGGCATGCAACAGGTACGGTAACGTGGCATATAGTGGAATTTCATACATGCCAGAATGGGTTGTCCAAGAATATCATCTGACAGGACAACTATTAGCTATGTTCTACCCTGATTCTCCTTGTATGCTGTGTTTGCCCACCCTGTTAAATGTACAGAAGATAAATATTCTCTCATTTAATGGTATTTATAGTATTCATGAATAAAACCAGGATTGAATTGATTGTATTACAGCTGCCATGCGGCTGCACACACTTGGCTGTGTTAGTGACAGAGAAGGGAAGCCACGTGTTTATGTTTCTAATTGCCTCTTGCAGGATGCGATGAGAGCAGTAACGAAGGTTGCCATCAGAGAGGCTCGCCTAAAGGAAATCAAACAGGAGATTTTAAATTCGCAGAAACTAAAGGTGAGATGTTTTGTCATGTTTGTCCTCATTGCACTGTACTCCCTTTCTCTCTAAGTACGACATGTCAGTTTTACACTCTGCACTACTTTCTCTCTCTCTCTCTCTCTCTCTCTCTCTCTCTCTCTCTCTCTCTCTCTCTCTCTCTCTCTCTCTCTCCGTATGTACCCTCTCTCCACCACG